GACCTTTTATTTATAACTTCAACAGTAGATATTTTGTAATGGCTGTTATAGATTTATGTTTGTACTTTCTAAGCTCTAAACCTCATCTCGACAACTTTCTAGTCCAGAGCAACCCATACTTTTATCGATATGTTAGCCTGTAGCCTGGCGTGCTGAATAAAGTAAAAATTTGGTGGTTTTAACAGCCAATCACTATGGAACAAAGTTGGTTACTGTTATTTAATACTTGAATCATTTTGCTTAAGTTTTTTTTTTTAATTCGAAAGATTTTTCATTTTTAATGGTTAGTTGGTGGTATTGTTGGCTTATGGTTCGATTCCCAATCTGAAGAAGGAATCCCTTTTTCTGTCGATGTCATCCGCCATTCTAAATATGACGTCATAAAATACATGTTTTATTTGCATGTCTGGTACAATTTTAACTCCATTTTCTCCATTCTCTCTCCACCATATATGTATATTTTACGATGTTACAACGGGCTGCTCTCTCCCAAGCGGGGCAATACTGGACCCATCTAACGCCATTAGTACCATTGTAACATGGTTTCTCTTGGAACCACTACTGTTATCCAAGAATGATCGTGACTGTTATCTGCTGTCGCGTTTCCTAGATGTCTTCGAACCCATTGAACTTGTCGATGAATCTATGTACTTACATATCGACACCTGAGTGGAAGATCGACCTATCTTAGAATTCAGTTCAAATACGCCATATCTCAGCTGAAAATACATTGAAAATGGGCTGAGATAAAGCGTTTTTTAATCGATATCTGAGATTGGGCGTTTTTCAATCAAACGCTGAAGTAGGGCGTTCTTGAAAAGTTTTCTCAGGTAAAGAGTTTTCGAACTGGCTGCCGAGATAGGTCGATCTTCCACTCGGGTATCGATATGGACTGGTATATTGGCGCTGCAGCATATAGAAATATTTAACTATACGATTCTATATAAAAAAAGTGTCTAGTAGTGTCTCATGATCAGTTACGGGCACTCAATAAGATATTGTAAGAATGTTTCTCTACTTTCTTCAAGATTACAACCACGTCCCTAAGAGTTGTTGGGTGGTGCCATATAGCAAATAAGTAGTTACATATTCCTCCACTTTGATAATGTCTCATCCCGACTTTTCGCATAAATAAACAAATATTAATATAGGTATTGAACATAGCTAAATAGATCTGAGCCATTTTTTTCTCGTTTTTTTTTGGGATAATTTTCAATGAGGGCAAAACTATTTATCCATGGATATGTATTAGATATATATTATTCCGACAGGGTAGGAGTACATATATCTTATTTTTGAATGAATTTGCTTGTTAAATTTGGTTTGGAGACAAGTCGATTTCGAATTGCCATTTTTCGTTAAAATTAGACAACGCATGGTAATAATTCGTTCCAAAATGCAGAATTTCGTACTCCCGCCTAGTGCCTTTTCAATATCCTACAGATGTCAACTGCGTACCGCATTAAATTTTCAGCCTCCATAGCTGCTGCCAAATTCAAATCAATTTTTTTTCTTCTTAATTCCCTACCAAAATCTTACGACAAAAAGCGGTATGAGGCAGCTGATAAGTTCGACGGTATCTTCTGATTCTAAGCGAATGTTGAGCTTAGGTAACAGCAGACTGAGATTGAAACTTTTCAGGCCGTCTTTGGAATACTATGGAATACCATGTCTTCAAAATTGTTCGTGACAATTTCTTTATATATACATATGTTTCGATCACTCAGGCTACCGCACCTTCTCCGTTTTCTTAATTCAATGCCTAACTTTTCAGCTAATTGTGTGGCATTTGGGAAAATTCCATGGAAGTGATATTCTAAATGGATTCTTCGATTGCTTAGCGTTCCTACCAAAATTATCACGATGGCTGAAGCCTTCGGATAGCCGATAGTTTCTTACTGCAAAATCACACTCAGTGGCTGCATTACTGATAAAATGTCACTGAAGCAGAAATCACCAAAACGAAATTCAAAGTTACATAGAGGAAAGTTCTGATTCATTCTGTCTAGTTCCTTTAGCAGAAAGCATGTTAGACTTATTCTCCTCAAGTCGACTGCTTTCGAGTTTTCATAGCATCTTATTTCTTAATTAATCTAGACCTTCGCTAGGGGTCGCAGGTGTCGATATATTTGAGAAATCCATATTTATGGTCCGATATGGTTCGTATTTGGAATGAATGTTACCTAAATGAAAAGGAATAGCTCCACAAAAAATTTTGCCCGATAGGTGGCACTGTGGTCGGTTTTTATTTTTTCTTTATTAACCAACAATGAAAGCTTGTCTTCGCAATTTTTTTTTATAACTTGTTTACTATTTCATTGCATATTTGTATGGTTGTCAAAAGCTTTACTTTACACTACTCACCTCCAAACTAGTAAATTTGCCATTGAAATATGAACACACATTTTAAACTCCAGCTCAGAATTCTATTGCAATTCCTTTTGCCAACCACTTTATTTTGCGAAATTTTTGATAGCAGCCACTTAACTATGGTGAGCCGCAACATTAACTCCAGCGCATTGGCCGCAAATAGACACCCTCGTCTAAAAATGCATTGGATAATTTCATTACAACAACTAAAGCGACTAAATTGGCTTTTAGTAAAAACGTAAACGTAAAACAGCAAAAGTGGGTTCAAAGCGACGAAGAGTGAGTGCTGAGTTGAAAAGTATGTAGTGTGGTAACAGAGTAAGTAAATGCGGTGCGTCCATCCCCAACGACGAAGGCCAAACAAGCAACTTGACGAGCAGCCACACACTTCAACTGGACTTATGTTTTGGGATGAGTAGAGGGAGAGCAGGAAGGCAAAATGTAATGCAAAATTTTATAAAGGAAATTTCAAAAATGCACAACGCACACGTTTTTGCACATGCAAATGCTTAAATTTATCTACATACCCTACAAGACATTGCTGAGCACTTTAGGCAAAAATTCTAACACATTTACAGTTTTGTTTTTGTAGTACGGCATAAATGAGTAGTTTGACTATTAGCACTGAGGACTTTCTGATGACAACATTGAGGGGAAAGTACTCAAATTTTTCCCATGGCCTGAACGAAAATGAGGACTTTGATAAGCACTTTTGTGATTAGGAGTAATGATAATATGAGTACTCATATGATACTCAGCTGTCTTGTAGGGTACATATGTACGTACGTATGTGCGTATGTATATGTAGATATGTACAGTATGTTTGTAATGCAACATTACAACGGGGCACGGGTGCAAAGGCAGCAAAAATTTCACAAAAACGGCAAAGTTAGTTGTAAGGTTATAATTACCCTTTCGTTGGGTCGTTTCGAACCTTCGACTGTCGCTTGGACGTTTGGTCGCCGCTTCGTCGCTTCGTCGCTCATTCGGAGTCCAACCGGACATTGCACATCGTGCAATCGTGCTCTCTACTCAGTGGGGCGCATCGCCACTATTAACAGCAACTTCTGTGTCTGGCTGTCTGGCTGTCTGGCTGGCTGGCTGACTGCCGGGCTCACATGTAAATACATATTCTGTTTTTAATATCGACCAAAAGGAATATGAAAATAGCGAAAAAATACAAAAATAAAACAGTTACATGTGTACCTAAAACATTTTGTTTGCTTGTACCAATGTCCTATAGTATGTATGTATGTATGTATGTAAGTACAAACGCAACATGCATATATTCATCTTTTTGTTGTTATTCGACCCTACTGCCCTCTTCAGTCGTGGTAGTCGTCGATGTTTAACTCTCCCTGTCAACAGCTTACCACCTCTGTTCGGTCTCTTCGATATCTGTTACCATCTGGGGTTTACAGGTGTAGATGCTGTTTTGTGACTTTTATTGCTAATACGAATGTTGTTAGCAATAATATGTTAACAATATTTTCACTTGTGTATGCACACGTGTTTACAAGGTAGCCCGAATTGTTTTTTTAAAATTAGATGCTGAGATTCAATGGGTTAATATTGAAAATTTAACTGAATTTCTGCTTGACCTATGGCCATTAGGCTATTGAATACTTACAGGTCTATTCTGCACGTTACCAAAGATTTTGTAACCGGAAAATATTATTACCAAAAAATGTTACCAGTTCTTGTCACCACGATTCTAGTTACGTTGGTAATGCAGTTAAAATTTTCAGCAATTCAGCTATGAAGAATTGTGGACATTCTGGCATTGCATATTTCACGGGGCAATACTTTGTTACCAGCTTATAAGATGGTCACAAAATTTAACGCTTACAAGAGTACACAGAACTCGAAATGGGGTTTAAAATATGACAGGAACTTAATTTACCGGTTACAAAACATTTATTACCAGCGCAGAATAGGCCTGTTAAGCTAAATTACAGTATGTATTCACTGAAAGCCTATTTTACATAGAGGATTTGCATGACACTACATCGGCCAGAAGGTGGCAGTAATTTTTCGTCAACTTTGAAACTTCATGCTTAGAATCTTCTAAAAGTTAGAACGCTAGATATCGATGGTGTAATAGTATGGTGATGTACTTTAGAAAATATTTATAATAGCATTTGATGTGTGTCTATAAATGATTTTTGTCCCCCAAATCAATTTCTCGTTTCCTTTCATTTATAGGACATTGTCTTTGGCAGCAAATGAAACTAGATTTTGTACTGTCCTTTGTATCTTTTTCTCAGCCTAAAATAATATTTAAAACTAAGTTTATGACAAAATTAGTGTGAAATAGTAAATCTAATTTCTTATAATCTAATATGTAAAATATGTATCTATTTATATTCTGCTATATTTATTAACTCAAAACTGCAATATTCCATGAACAAACACAAAACCCTGCATACATCCCATGAACATTTGTATTTACAAAACTTTGCATATTTTCATGCCACATTTTTTGTATCTCTACTGTATGTATATGTATATACATATGTATGTAGCTGTACTGCATATTTATAACATAATAACCTCAAATACATATAGATTGCATTTTGAAAACTCGGTCAATACATTACTTTTTTCTCTTTTCTCTTTTTTAATTGCAGATGCTTATCGATCAAGCCACCTGAGAGGTAAAAACATAAACATATCCCTTCCTTACTATGCAAAAAAAAAAAAACTGAAGAAAACAAACAAAAGAAAAAATTCCAATACCAAATTATTAGCCAATGCGCAAAAATAATTGCAATAAATGCAACAACAAAGAGTAACGAGAAAAAAATAAACAAAATGTGACTGCACTTGAGCGTTTTTAGAGCGAGGAAAAATGAAAATTACATAACAAAATAAGCAACTAATTAGAAAATAACTGTAGAATATGAATGAACAACGGAACAAAAAACGTTGATAATGAATGATAAGGTTTACAACGAAGCTACGACGGCAACAGGGTAGGAGAGTGCGAAAAAAATGCGGGGAAGGGCGCATAACTGTCAATACTGTTTTTTCTGTTTTTTTTTGTTGTTTTTGTAATAAACATGATTATCGTGTCAAGAATATGGAATTTCCAGCAAAAATATTTGGGTGAATGCTGCGCATTTTTAATTTAAAATTGTGCAAAATATTTGAAGGTTTTTTTTTTTTGCTTTTCAGCTGCAACGGAAGTGCAAGGAAGGCTGTAATAAATAGAGCGGAAAATGTATGCTTGTATGTGTGTGCGAAAAGTGCTTTGTACGTGTGTGTGCGAGATGAAAAAATAATTGGATTAGTCGAAGAAATTACAAAGATTTGAAATCTTTATTAAAAAAATGCATTAAAATCTATTTCATTTTTTTTTTGAACTTAGTTGTTAAAATTTTCTGAGAAATTCAAATTTAATTAGAATTGAAATGCTGTATAATATTTATACAAATTTATAAGAAGAATTATCAAACTGCCCAGTCAATAACACAGCGCCCAAAACAATTTTCGCTTTTTAAAGCTTTCCATAGACTATCCATGGAAGCTTGCATTCATGTCTTGATCAAAAAAAGGCCCTCAAAAAAAAAAAAACAATATGAGTTAATGTTAACCAGTGACGATCACAGAGAGATATCTCTTCGAGGTCGTGGCTGCTTAAAAGAGTTGTTCATGTGCGCAGCGATCAGAGAGAGCTTTTACTTTGAGCTCGTCCATGCAACAAAGTAATTAACAGAGAATGCTTAACCCTTTGCACGCCTATACAAAACTATAAGAAAGCTTAAAAAAGCAGAGCGAGTATTTGACGCACGTGGTCAGGCAATACACTAAGCTCAGGTTTACGGCTGTGCGCACCACTGTGCATGAAAAACCCCGTTTTTAATACGATAGTTTTGATGAAAAGAGCATTTATATCAGTGAAGATAAGAGGAAAGCTTTTAATCTCTATGCAACAACTTCTCCAGCGATATATGTGTTGGTCGTGACTGATATATGTACTTATGTATAACAGCAGCGGCCACATAGAGCTTTTGCCCTATGCGTGCTCATATAAAATTTGCAGAAAGCTTTGAAAAGCTTAGTACGCGAGATTTGTTTTAGCCGTTACCGCTGTATAACGTCAAAACTTTACTTTCTTTAAGAGCTTTTTAAAGCTTCCTAAGCATTTTTGCACACCGGGTAAATGCTCTGGCAATATATATGTCACAATGATGTTCAAAACGTAGCTATGGGAAGACATTTTTTTCGATCCTCTGTAGGTTTCATATCAGTGACGGTAACAGGGAGCTTTTACTCTATTTGCGTTCCCATAAAACTGTTGGAAAGCTTAAAAGAATTTCCTCGGCTGGATATGTTTTGTTCTTGACTGATGTTGAATTTTCGATTATAAATCATATTGTTAAATCGGGAAAAAAATGTTAACAAATTTTGAGAAAAAGGCAAAATTCTCACCCTAAAAATTTTCCTAGATTAGGGTTTCAGATCGAACAACAGTTCATAGCCGAGATGTACTTACATGCTAAATATAGACTTTTTTGTGGATTAAAAAATTAATATTGAAATTAATGGTACACTGCTGAAGCTCCATATCTTAAACATATTTTTTTTTATAAAAATTCCATTCATTCCACTGCTGAAAGCATTCATATCCACTTCATACAAACATAAATACATGAATACATAATAATCACTCTAAAACACTCTTGCGCAAGTCATTTTTTTATACATGTTTATAATTTGTTATTGTATTTCAAAATCATACCAAAAACATTAAAGAAAGTTTGTCTTCAAAATCATTTCCAATCCAAATCCACATCCTTCCCGTTTCTACCTTTCAGCAACCTCAAGTGGCTGTTGGTTAGCATTTTTTTTTAGATTTTTAATTTTCACATTTTATTGACTTTATTTTCATAGCATAATCTAATTTAGTTACTTTTACTTACGTCTTTACTTATACCCGGTTCTCTGAAAGTTTTGGCCGCCGCAAAAAAAGGGCTGCCGTTCACATGTGCCTGACCCAAATTGAGGTTGACAACGAATAGTAACTGTCAAATCGCTGTCAACTTTACAATGCCCTACAAACGTTTGCTTGTCCGCCTACGGCAGACTTCTAGGCGAGCATAGAAGTACAGATATGCATACTTATGTGCATTAGGGTGGGAAAATTCGTATGGAGGAAAAAATAGTAGCTATAACTTCTACCAAAATGTAAATTGTTTTTATTTTCGACAAAAATTTTCATTATAAACGGCCTCAAGCTCAATAAAGTTTTTGAATATAATTTTTGTAAGGCCATAAATAACAAACACAAATTTTTTAAATGTAGATTAAAGTAAACAAATTACAACTGACAAATGGATTTATTAAAGTAAATAAGCTTGCATAAAATAACTTAAGATTTTTGAAAAAAAACTTGACGAAAGAAAGATTTTTAAAGTAAAAAAAAATTATTTGAATGCAAAACATAATTTTTTAATAAAATGTTGAAATAAACGCATTTAATTTTTTAAAATTTTTTATAAAACACTTCAATAAAACATTTATTTATTTATTTCATATTTGGAAAAAAAAATTAAAAAATTTTTTAAATTAATTTTTCCCCACTTGACACATTTTTGATATCAAAATTTAACACATTTTTTAATTGATATATTTATTACTTTAATAAAACATTTTATTAAAAAAAATATCTTTTTTCCAATTCAACGGACCTGCTCAGCGTCTTAAAAAAGTAAAATTTTTTGTTCTTTTTTCAATTGAAAAACTAAATTTTTTAAATAAACTTTTTCCCCCATTTGACACATTTTTGATATAAAAATTTTTCACATTTATTTTTTCAAATTAATATATTTATTACTTCATTGAAATAATTATTTTTGTTATATCCAGCATCTTCAAACAAAATTTAATTATGCCTTTGTAAAAATTCGACCCACACTAATATGCGCAAGTGTGTGCGTGATTTTCGCCAATCTTCTGTGCGGCCATTTGCGTCAAACCATGACAGTTAAACCACAAAACGCGCCGCTGTTTTTTTCCGCTCCTCTCCACCTCCAGCTGTCACTGCCCTTCTCTCAGCCTTTGTCTCCTCATAAAGTCATACAAATTTTGTTTATACATAGTTTTGGCCTTTTTCCTCATGAGCTTCAGCAAATTGCAAATGAAATCTGAAATCTCAATCGATTCAACAATCTTTTCCTTAGACCTATTCTCCATTGTTGTTTGTCCATCAGTTATTGCATGCTGTTTTTGTATTCATATTCACTATTGGCAATGATCGGCAATGACAGTTCTGGCTGGCTAGTCCCGAAACGATCGCAGCAGGTTGTGTGGGTTGCTCAGTACAGACGGGCAATGGCGTGTTGCCAGCCTAACCGCGATGTCTTTTAAATTCTTGTGGTCTCTGATCTCTGCTTATTGAGTTGCGACAGCTTCTTGTGCTGCCAGACAAAGCGGCGTTTACTCGAGTTCGAAACTGCATGGAACCCAGTGCTGATGTGGGTTGATGCTGTAAGAGTAGTAACAGCGAGGGTAGAGGGTAAACCACAGAAAAATAGTTGTAAATTGCATGCGACAAATTGTGTTGACTGAGATAACTCAATGAAGAGTTTTGTTGATAGCATCTCAATTGACGGAGGTGGAAGTGGCTTAAGGAAACTTCAAATGAAAAAATTTTTACTGCATTTTAAAAGAGTACAATCTACGGAATGATTGATGAAAAATAATATACTCGTAATATAATTGGCCCCAAAAAATACGTAAAAATTGGAAGGAAAGCAAAAGGGGAAAAAAAAACTTTGAAAATGAATTCCAGTAGATTCTTGAAAGTCACTACTAAAACAAGAATAGCCATAAATTTTCAAAAACGTTTGAAACGAGTCCGAAAAATTACAAGAAGGCTACTTTGGCCACAAATAAATAGATAAGAAAAAGGTGAGAGAGTTGCTCAGCCTCGCACGAGAGGATATTGCAAGGGGCATGGCTTGTGTTACCGGTCATTGGCTATTTGGCAGGCACTCTTCGAGTATAGGAATATTCTCCCACGAATATTGTAGAAGTTGCAGGAATGAGGAAGAGGAAGAGGAAGAAACAGTAGAGCCCTTCTTTTGTAGCTGCCCAGCTCTGGCCAAGAGGAGAGCACGTTTTTTAGGTAGGCCCGAAGATTAGTCACAAAGGTTTATTGTGTTCTGCTGTGTTACCACAATGGATCTTTAAAAGGTCTAAGTGAGTTGGTAATTTGAATCGACTGCCACATGAACCCAATTTAACTTTTGATGGAGTATACTTTGATTAATACAACCACCTACATAATTTTGTAGGACTCCAGAATAAAATAATTCAAGATTGTAAGATTTAGAAAAGAAAAGTTTCGTTTTTCATAAAAAGTCTGTTCAAGAATATATTCAATTAATTTTTAGACAAAACGACACGGTTATGAACTGCAAAAGATCTGTGAGGCGTGCGTACATACATATGATGGATGTTTAGGAGTTAAAATGGTTAAGAAGTGCTTTACTGAATACCAGTGTTGCCAACTTTTGAATTTCAAAAAGCACCAAACCTTGGAAATTTGAGCGTTTTACCGCACTAAAAGCACACAATTTTTTTTAATCAAAGGATACTTTCTTTTATAACAGTTTGTAGTAAACAAAAGTAAAAAAATAAACAATATTTA